TCAAGTCTTAGGCTAAATCTAATCCTGACCCAGCTGTAAATTATTTTTATTGCCTATCTCATTGTCCTTTTTTATTAACTTAATAAATAACCATTGGTTATAACTCCTTAAAGTGCACATTTTAGGGCCCGGATTCCTTTTGTTTCTTTTTTCTTCCCTCACATTACTGTGTCTTTCAAAGACTCTACTATATGGATATTTTTCCTGTTTTCAGTATAATTTGAACCTCATAAACCCAGAGCTTCAGAAGTGAGTGGAAACACAGCCCGGAAGCTTTAGACGGGATCTTGTTTTAAATGTATCATCACCTGGCACCTGAGTGCCCGCTCTCCTTCCTCAGGAAGCCTTTGCCACCCAGAGCTTAAGCCTGAGAGGATTATCAGCAGTTAGTCATTGAGCTATTTTTGTTGCCATTGTCTCCTACGCTGCTTCCTCAGATGCTGCTTCCTCAGATGCAGGGTCTCTGGAGCAGGTGGGAACACGCTCATTGTCTTGAATGTGAAGTGCCGTGTTCACTTCAAAGCTTTGAAGTCACACTTGGCATGGGTTTAAAGCAGATTTATCTTGCTCATTACCAGTGACCCTACCTGCCGTGACATCCTCCCGGGTAGCAGCTGGCTGACACTGGACAGCAGAGTTGGAACCAGGAGGCATCTGAGGCCAAGTGTGGAGATGCAGGCCTGTCATCTCAGCATTTGTGAGGCTAAGGCAAGAGGACACTCGGTTAGAGGCCAGCATGAGCTACCTAGCAAGACCCTGGAAAGGGGCAGGGGAAGCACATCAGAGCCTCTAGGAAACCAGGGCAGCGAGGGGAAGACCTGAGGGGAGGACTGAGGGCTCTTCACGGCCATGCTTGTTCACAGCTGGCTCAGCACCTGAGTCGTCTGTGTCCTTTGCTCCATCGTGATGTCTTCCTCTTGTCTATGGAGGCTTTTTATTGTTAAGTTTTTGAGATTGGGTCTTGCTCTGGACCTCACTGTGTAGCTCGTGCTGACCTTGAATTTGTGGCAGTCCCCCTGCCTCAGCTTCCCTGGTACTAGGGGTATAGACATGAGTGCCATGGCAAGCTTTAGGTGTAACTGTGAAGGTCAGGGACCCCATAGTGAGGAGACTCCGGAAGCGAGCTGCACGATGCTTGTAATGCAGGAAAGCCTTAGGACATACTGTCCTCACAGACGCAAACTGCAGGGTCCTTGGAATCCAGCCTAGCCAACGGCCTCCAGGATACTCTGCCCAAACCCAGCAAAATAAAGGCCCGAAATTGGCTCCTCCATTTTGTGTACAAACAGGCTGGATATGAAGTGAAAAACAAAAACAAAAACAAAAACAAAAAACAAAACAAACAAACAAACAAAAACAAACACCAGGAACCCGAATTTCAATATTATTTAATTTTAATATATATTTTTAAAAGTGGAAGTGATATAAAACATTTTATATTAAACTCTACTTTTTCTTAGCACTTACATTTCACATTAACTAGCAAACCCCAGCATCCTCTGGGGCTGTGAGGTGGCTCAGCAGTGAAAGTCCTTGCTGCACTAGGCTGACCGCCTGACTGAACCCCAGGAACCCTGAAAACGGAGGAAGCAGAGAAAATACTGCAGGTTGTCTTTGGACCTGTACATGTGCACCAGGGTTTGCGAGTACCTGCACATGCACGCGCGTGCAAGCACACACGCACACACCAATGATAAAGAGAAAATATGTACCACCCACAGTAAGTGTAAAACATGCTAGATTTCATAGACCAATTTTACTTATTTTAAAAATACTATCTCACTGCTTACTTTGTCATATATTAGGTTAAAAAGCAACTTATATATAATATAAAAATTATGTATGAGCATGTAAATTATATATAAATGTAAATTTTATGTTATAACTTTATAATTATATAAAATATATAAACTAAATTGAGTTAAATTAACAAAGTGTTGAAATATTAAATGTTAAAATGACATTTACTATTTTCCAATAATGATATTTTAAATAATAACTAGACAATTTAAAGTTACGTATGTGGTGCAGTTGTGTGTCTCCTGGACAGCACTGATGGTGTTATACCCAGTTCGCGAGCCCCCAAAAGGTCTACAGGAATCAACTCTGTTGCAAAACACATGAGGGTCTTTTTATTGTAAATTACAAGCTGCAGCTTGGGCCAACACAGCCCCACTGCCGAAGCGGTGGGAGCTGAGCGCGCCGTCCCCAGGTTAGTTGGGTCATATATAGATTCTGGTCCCTCCCAGCATGCCCACAGCAGGGGCGATTCCTGCCTGGCAAGCATCTATTGGTCAGGATGCTACATTTTGAATCGATTGGCTATAGGAAGGTTCCCAGGCCAATGACCTGGTGTCCCTCCCTAGGGGGATGGTCCAGTTTCCTAGCAACTGTATCTCTAGTGGGTGGGGAAAGAATGCAGTGAGGTAGCTCTCCCCTCAGGGCATTACTAACTTTTTACCGCACCTACTCTAGGTCTTAACGATAGCTGCTACTTTATCCTTTGGTCTCTCAATGGGTTTTCATTGGTTTATAGCTCTAGGGTGTTGCCTTGCACAGCAGCCACAGTTTAATCAGTCCATCTCTGATGTGCACTCGAGTTGTTTCTCACCTTCTAAAATGCAGGAAGGAGCCTGGAGAGATGGCTCAGCAGGGAAGAGCACTAACAGCTCTGGCAGAAGCCCCAGGTTGGTTTTCCAGCATTCAGCATGGCTCACAACTGACTGTAACTCCTGTTCCAGGGGATCTGATGATCTCTTCTGGACTCTGCAGGCCCTGCAGGCGTGTAATATACATACATAGATACATACAAACATACATACATACGGGCACAGGAAATAAAGTAATTTTTAAAACACAGCAGGGCTGCTCAGTGGGTAACGGTGCCTGTGACCACGCCCAACACGTGAGCTCTCTCCCTGGACCCGCATGGCGAAGACTGCGGATCCCTGCAGGCTATCTTCTGGTCTCTGCAGCTGCATGATGGCACCCTCCACCTTCTCCCTCCTGCCAAATAAACACACGCAATGATGTAATGCATCAATGCCTGCCTTGGCCATGCATCTCGTCGGGATGAGTGCAGTTGCTCTGTAAATGCATCCGTGCTTGGACTGTTAGGTCAGAGGATAAATACATGTGCGTTACCAGCATTTGTCCCCTGTAAGCCCTGCACTGCCGTGTGCTCTGTGCCCTCCCCCAGCCTGCCACCAGAAACAGCTGCTTATTTCAGGGTGTCAGAATTACACATTTCCTCTCACTAATCTGAGATATTTGTTTTGTTTTTATTTTGAGATCAAGTCGCATTAAGAAAATTGGGCAGGCCTCAGACTTGTGGCAATCCTCCTGACTCCGTGCTCCTAAGAATTTCAGGTACATGCACCGTGCCCACTGTGAGGGGCATGAGTTCACAGGAAGAAGCCACAGAGGCTTTGCCTGACTTCTTCTGTTGTTTGTTTTTCAAGACAAGGTTTCTCTGTATAACCTTGGCTTCCTGGACTCACTTTGTAGACCAGGTTAGCCTCACACTCAGAGATCCACCTGCCTCTGCCTCCCTGAGTGCTGGGATTAAAGGCATGTGCCACCACTGAAAGGCCCAGCAAGGGGTCTAATTACCTGGAGGTTTGAGAAGGAGACTCTGAGGCCGGGGAATCGTTGTAATTAACAAGAGGTTTTATTTACACCAGTGCGCTGGGGCTAACTCCACATCCAGGTTAGAGTCAGCATTGACTCTCAGTAGCCTCCAGTTTTTAAAGGGGTAGACGAGGGGGTTACAGGTCTGACATCATGGGAGCAGATATAGGGTCTATTGTGGGCACCAGGTCCAGTCAGCTAGATATCTGGAGTATATCTGTTCTTTTCTGATATGTGCAGATTCAGCTATTGTTAAAGGTGGGAAAAGGATTAGTACATTTTGTGGTGAGACTAGACCATTGTTAAAGGTGGGAAAAGCAATCTGCTCATCCTTTGGTCTCTCTGAGAAACAGGGCTACTACGTGCCTTTAGTCAAACGGTCAGGGGCTGTTTGGGAGGGGAATTAGGACCATCTGGATCCACAGTACTTTCTTCTGTAATCGGGTGAAGGTCCTCTCCTTATCTCTGTCCGTGCAGATGGCTGGGGTCAGGAGAGGCTGTTACATTCTCCTGTCCTCTGGAAGAGTACTGAGACAATTCAAAATATAGCTGATAAGGCCAGTCTGAGTCTTTCACCGCCTTGTTCTGTTTTTAAAAAGAAACTACTGGTGAATTGTCATGGAAGTGGACAAGTATCCTAGGGATTTAGGAAGAGCATACTAGGGAGGCTGGGGTGGCCCAGGGCATTTTCCTTTGTCTTCTGAGTTCTTGATCTTCTGGGTGAGGAGGCTTTCCAAAGGAAGTTTTTGCTCATGGTGGGTGAGAGGCTGCACACTTTCCAACTTAGGCTGTATCCCCAGCAGTGTGCCGGCAGCCGAAGAGCTCCAGGCACAGGCTCCTCAGTGCGGTCATGCAACAGTGTGAGGCCCTCTTAGCTCTCTTTTGAGACTTGTGTGCCCTCTACTGCTCTGTCTGCTGTTTTTTGTTTTTTGTTTTTTTTTTTTCTTTTTCTTTGTCAGATGCAAATAAAGAACAGAATACTCACAAAGTCAAATGGCCCCACGTTTTCCATTATTGAGAAAGTAAGGCTGTTATGATGAGGGATCTCACCAGGCTGGTAGCCGTGGGTCTGATAAACTCCTAAGTGAGAATAATGAAGTCTGTTTCTCAGGAATAGAAAGTTATTTGGGCAAATCTGGAAGCCTAGAAAAGCGCGGTACAAGTATGAATGTGATGTTTACTATTTTGGTATTTTTCTTCATTTTAATACTGAGAGGTTGAGAACTGCTTTTTTAAAGGAGTGCCAGGACTCGCCACCAGCGAGGTGGTCACCTTAGCATCTGGTGGCGGCTCTCCCATGGGTGTGAACTACGAACAGGCAGTTGTCCTTTTCTGCTCCTGTTGCTAACTCCACCTAATTGCCGTTTCAGGAAGGGTTTTCGCTCATTGGCAGCAAGAGCTGGTTGAAGATTGTGAGGCGCATGGACTGTCTTCTGTTTGGAACGACGATAAGGGTAAGGTGATACTGAGTGACATGGCCGGCCACGTTAACAGTAATGCCCTCTCTTCCCATCGCTGCATAGGACCATGCAACTTCCCTGGGCTAAGCCCTGGGAGCAGCTAGGCCAGCGCTATGTGTCTGCTTACTTAGATGTTTAAAAGGGTATTTTTGAAGGTTCCATTGAATATATATATATTTTTTTTTCTCATTGTAATATTTAAAAATAGAAGCTAGGTGTGGTGGTATACACTCAGGAGGCAGAAGCAGAGGTAGGCATATCTCTGTGACTTCAAGGCTAGCCTGGTCTACATAGTGAGTTCAGCCAGGGCTATGTAGGAAGACCTTGTCTCAAAATGAAGAAAAAAACAAAACAAAACAAAAAAAAAACACCCCTGGCCAGTAAGATGGTTTAGTGGGTAAAGGTGCTCGCTGCCAACCCCGATAACCTGTGTTCAGTCTCTGAGGCCCATAAAATATGAGAACCCACTCCCATAAGATGTCTTCCAACCCTCAAAGGATGGCGCTGTGGACAGCTCACAGACATCTGTCTGTTGGGACCCACACATACACAGACCTACACATACAGACGTGAATATTTAATGCAAGCAAATGTGGGTTTTTTGTTGTTTGTTTGAGACAGGGTTTCTCTGTGGAGCCTTGGCTGGCCTTTGTAGACCAGGACCTACCTGCCTCTGCCTCCTGGATTAAAGGCGTGCACCATCACACCCAACTGCAAGTAAATCTAAAAAAATAAAAAATAAATGCCTTTCATTTGTTTGCTAGCTGTGTAGAACATAAAGGATGATCCTTATCAGAGAAACATGCAAACTCATCACCTAGACAATGCCCCTTCAAAAATAACCATGAGGCTGGCAGCAGTGGCACACCTTTCATCCCAGAGGTGGGCAGATCGAGAGTTCACGACCAGCCTGGTCCACAGAGTGAGTTCCAGGACAGCCAGGGAAACAGATCCTGTCTCGAAAAACCAAAATCAAAATAAATAAATAAAAACAAAAAGCCATGAACACCAATCTCTTACCATTCACTGAGCAATAATGATAATAATAATAGTAATGAAATTTTGGGGGAAAAATACTAATTTTTAAGTAACTCACAGACTTTAGGAATTGCAGGAGAGTGAGTGGATTGTAGCCTGGAGCATAAACCCCGAAGAGCCTCCCAGCGTTCAGGGCTCTGTGAATCCACAGGGATCTTCAGTGACCTCTAGCTTGAACTTGTCAGTTCTCTCTGCCGTGGATGTAGGTGACCACTTGCAGTAGTGTGGCCCTTCTCACAGCCACGGCCCCGCAGCCACGGCCTCGCCAGGTACAGTTGTTGATCTCAGATGCTCATTGTATCTCCAGATCCCTCCAGTCCTAACTTCACCCGTACTGTATGTTAACAGTACAGAAGGCCTCCACTAGCAGTTCCCAGGTAGTGTTTAATAATGTAACAACCCACCCTAAGAATTGGTGTCCTGGACCACAAGTGCACACGATGCCGAGATCAACAGAGCCAACCCAGCTCCAACAGGTGACCTGCATCTTTGGCTCAGGAATGTTGGAGAAGGGGGCCAGAAAGACTGTAAGAGCCACCACACCAGGAAGCCTGCTGTGAAAGCCTGGCCTAGAAAGTGGCCTCGCAAACAAGATCGGAACAACGGCACCATTAGTGAGCTAATGTCAGCAGACATCTGTCTCTCCTCTAAGTCACCCGTGTACTTCACTTACATTAACTCAGCTTCAAAGCTCTTAGACACTGCATGTGTGTAAAAAACTTGAAATTACATAAAATTAATATATGTTTAGTCATAATTAGACTTTTCAGAGATTTATTTTTAATATTTAAATGTGTATGTGCATGCCCCTGAAGTAAGAGGCTTCTATCCCCTGGGCACCCCTGGGGTTACAGGTGCTTGCGAGCCACCCAGCATGGGCGCTGGGAACTGAACTTAGGCCCTCCGAAAGTTTAGTAAGTGCTCTTAACTGCTGAACCATCTCTCCAGCCCTTACACTTTTTTTAAAATTAAAACTAGAAGTATTTTGCTTGCTGTTATATAAATAATATTCTTTACCACAACTTATTTCCAAGCTGGTTAATATTGATTTTTTTTTTTCTGAGCCAATTTAAATTTAACCTCCTTACTGAACTTTTATTAACAATAACATGTTAATATTTACGTTTCTAGGAAAGCGATTTTATCAGCAAACTGATTATTTATTTCCAGTAGTTCACATTTTATAGTACTTTCCCCACCTCTGACGGTTGATCTTCATTGTAAAGTGAAATAAAAACATTTGAATTGTTTTTAGAATCTCCTAGGAAAGACATCTCTAGGCATGTCTACCCTGCTGTCTGCAGAGAGGTTTCAGTGTGGAGACGAGAGGTGTACTGGCTGTGGGCTGGGTACGAGACTGAATGAGGGGGGGCAGGAAAGGCAGTGAACCCTGCCTTTCGTCTCTTTCTGCAGATGGCAAGTGACCAGCCACCAGCCTTCCCACGCCTTCCGCTGCACATTAAGTGGCACCCATAAAACACCCAAGCCAGTGTAAACCCTCCTCTTCTCCAGTGGCTTTCAGTCAAGCACTGTTACGGCAGCCTGAAGCTGACTTGCCTCTGTGCTGGTCCGTGGCACACGGCGGCTGTGCCAGTACCCTGAGCTCGCCCTGGCTGCACGAGCTCTGGCTGCTCAGGCCTTGACCGCATCCAGGAGGTACTGCTTCCACTGTCGCGTGTTTACCAAGACTCTTGCCAGGCTTGCGTAACGCACTCCGTCAAGCGCTTTTGAAGGAAGCTGCTGTTTGGGTGGCAGGAGGCATGGGGTGCCAGGCCAGAGAACAGTTGTGGGTTCCCCTGCCACTATGTGGGTTCCGGAGCAGCACTTGGGCCATCAGAGTTAGAGCAAGTGCCTTTATCCTGAGCTGTTCCACAGGCTCTGTCAAATACTGTTGACACTTAGCAAAATCATGGGTTTTTCCCTCTCTGCTGCCTTGATGGCACATAACGGAACTGTTGGCCTTTGCTTTCTGTCTTAGCTGGCTTCTTGCTCTGGGTCACGTTGAATTCATAAGTACCATACAACATACACTGTTGTTCCTATTGGCAAACAGAAATACAGTTTGCATTCCTGTAGCAGAACTTTAATGTAATTTAGATTCTATAGATAGCAAACACTGTATTTTTCTCTCTTCTAGTAGGATATGCAGACAAAAATAGGCTTGTAAGGTGGGTCTCCTTCCTTTAAATAGAACTAATCACTAATGAGATTACTGGCCAGTTGGCCAGCAGCAGACATGTAATTCCTATCTGAAAGGCACTTTGGATAAAAGGAGTAAGTCTAAATCACTACCTTCTTTGTTTCTTCTCATCCTAGCAATTCACCAAAGAAATTTTGTTGATTTTGTCCATCTTGGGCTTTGAGAATTACCTCTTGGCTTTAAAGCAAATACACTGGAATTTCTTCTCTGAGTATTTTAGTCAATTTTCCAATGCTATAATGCACTAACAGGCTAGGTTGCTTTATAAAGAAAAGTGGTTTACATAGCCCGCAGTCTTGGAGGTTCAAGGGACTGGCACTTGTTGAGGGCCTTCTTGCTGACAAAGTCTCAAAGTGGTACAAGGCATCTCATGGCAAGAACCAGGGAGCAAGCAAGTGTCCCCAAGATTCACTGGGGCACTGCTGATTGACCTTCTGTATTCCGAAGGGCCTGGCCTCTCAACATTCTTGGATTAGTATCTGTCCTCTTGGGCCCCTCAGCACCACGGAGGCTTTTTTCTGCTCTTCCTGCACCTTCCAACAGTACAGCAAGCAGGTGGGGTCTTGACAGTGGTGCTGTATTCCTTAGGGCCTTAGTAATCTGAAGCTAACATGAAGACACAATGGGTGCCTGAGTTCTCTGAGGCCTCCCTGGCTCTGTGTGGCACTGGGTTGTTAGGCCCAGCATGAGCCTAATTTTAAGAAGGTATGAAGAGAACCCAGGAAACTAATCATCCATCGATGCAAAATCGCAAGAGGTTCATTTTGACCATTGCGCAATGGGGTCACCCTTGCTGGTCAGCAAGGAGTGGCACTGGGAGACGAAGGCTTTGGGTTTTTAAAAGGTAAAGCTCAGGAAATTCTAGGGGTTGCCTTCTTGGCAATTCATGATAGGATGAGGTGTTTAACTTTTAAAATAATTGGTTGGTTCTGGGCACCCTTAGGCCCGGTCAGCCCTGTCGTAAATATCTGATCTTCAAGTCAGTTTGGAATTTCCTGCCATATGAGATATAGCCACAGTTAAAGGTGGGAAAGTGATTAACTCATCCCGTGTCTGTTCTGAGGAGTGGGGGCTATAGGCTTTAGGTCAAAGGTCAGGAGTTATTCAGGAGAATAACTCCTGAATAACTGGGCCATTTGGCCCAGTTTCCAAACAACGCTCCTCTCACAGGCGCCAGCCGGTGATTTTCTCTCCATTTAGTAGAGATCTCTGCTTGTTCTCTTCCTTATCTCTGCCCTCACAGATGGCTAATGTCAGGAACTTCTACATTCCTCTGTTCTCTGAAGAAGCAGTAAGAGGCTTTAATTAACATGGGCCTAAAACTTGAAAATATAAGTTACAAGGCAATTAAAAGCAACATAGGTTACAAAGTTAGTCTGATTCTTTCAGAGTGTCACACCTTCCAGGACAGGATGACAACATCTGCTTGTTAGAGGGGTTTCCACACCTCAGTGGAGAGAAGTCTCTGCAGGCTGTGTGTGGAGATAGCACTAGCTTGCCTCCCTCTGTCCTTAGGTCTGTGGAAGGCGGAGTTTCCTGTAAATTACTAACTTGAAATTTTTCAAGGATCCACTTAATGGCAGAACCACTTCTTCATGAAACTAATTCTTAGGTGACTGAAAGCTGTGGTGACTGACAGCTTAGGTGAACTGCCTGGACAGTTTGTGTACTTGAAAATATTTTCCTCGGAGCTGGAGAGATGGCTAGGCAGATAAGCACACTTTGCTGCTCCCTGCGAGGGCCAGAGTTCTGTTTTCAGCACCCACCCCAGGCCGCTCACTCCCAGTGCCTGTAAGTGCAGCTCCGGGAAATCTGACTTCCTCTTCTGAACTTTGACCCTTTTCCTCAGGAAGGCGGCAGGTTGCTTTTAATGACTTGATAATTTGGGAATTGTTCATCCAAAAGACTCAAGTGCTAAAGGCAGTTTATAAGTACACACGAGAAAAAATACAAATTAACTGTGAAGCTGAAGAAAAATCTTCAAGCTCAATTATAACCAGAGAAATGCAAGTTTGAAAATCTGCTTTCCTAGTATGTGACAAAAATGCATAAACATCTCTGCTAGAATGCACAGGGAGTGGGCACGTAGGCAAGCCTGCATTTAGGCATTTTAATACAAAGATGTTTTCTCTGTGGTTTATAATAGGGGAAAGGCTGGGGCCACCTGAATGTTTGTCAGTAAGAGACCAGTTAAATAAAGGGATATGCCTCAGCTTTCAGAAGTAATGAGCTATACTTCTATTTTTATACCCCCACGGAATAGAAAATTAGGCTACAGCACTGTAGATTAAAAATACGCACAAAATACAACCTACATATTATGTATTCCATGGGAGAGCTCTAAGAAGACTTCTGACAGATCCAGATATACAAGACTGCAAGGGGGTGATAACAACCAACAGACACCCAAAGCCTAGTGAGGGGAAGCGTGAAGGGGAGGGGCATGCTGCACGCTCCCCGGAGCCAAGCCTTGGCTCTGTTTTTTGGGGGGGGGGGCAACTTGCTTATAGGAATTTTTAGAATTTTGCTGAGGTCAGGAAACATGTATGGTTTACATATTTAGTAAAAAGGGTGGTGTACACGCTAACCTGCTTTCTTTATGGGAATAAAAACTGGAACAAATGCATTCAGTGTTGCTTGGGAAGCTTTATGTGGATTGACTCATCTAGACAGACTATTAGATTGCAAATAGGAAACTTACTAAACTAAGGGTTTCATGTTATCACAACCCAGGTCTGTTTTTAAGCTTAGAATCAAGTAACTCTGATGAGTTGCCACATGTGGTTTGGTTTGTTCTTTTTAGTTGCACCTGTCCCATGTTTAACAATTTTCCCAAGGATGTACCTCCTACAGGAAACGACAGGCAGCTCCCCTCTGTGGCTTGGTTAGCAGCCAGGTACCCTGAGGATAAAGGGTGCTAGAGATTACTGATGTGCACACGTTTTGAGCACCTGCCCTCCGCCAGGCTAAGTTCCTGCCTCCTTAATACGGCAGCTGCTGCCTTTCCTTTCCTTCCTGTCTATAGGGTGCTCGCTGAGATCCGACCTCCATCACTCTCCAGCATAATTTTTTGAGACAGGCTCTCTGACTGAACTCAGAATTTGCTCTCTCAGCTGGGCTGTCTAGCCCCTCAGGCCTGGGGTCCTCCAGTCTGTGCTCCGCAGGGCAGGCTTACAGTCAGCGCTGTAGTGCCTGGCTTTTCCCGAGTACCGGGGAGCCAGTGCAGGTGCTCACTGTGCACAAGCTCGTTACCCACAGAGCCATCACCCTGCTTGCTCCTCCCTTTATTCCATTCAGAAACATTTTGTTGAACCAGGACTGTCGTATATTGGTTTCAGATTTTTCTATTTAAGGAATTAGATGCTGTGAAACTTACTATTTTGTAGACTAATCTAAAAATTTATTAAAAACTTCAGCTCTAAAGTCTATAGAAAGCAAGAGGAAACACTGACCTTCCACTCAAGCCAGTGGAGTGACCCTCCAGGTTGCTAATGTCTAGTGCCAGCATTAGGGGGAGCTGCCTGAGGGAGGCGAGTCCTGTGTGAGCACAGGCCTCTAGAGAGGCACAGAAACAAGTTCCTGGCTTCTCTGCACCTGCCCCAACAGCAAGTGTGTCCACTGGATGACTCCACAGTGATGTTCAGTGATGACCTTTAGCTTTTCACACACAGAACAAGAGCCGCATGTTTCGTGTGCAGTTTAGCGGGGAGTCCAAGGAAGAGGCGCTGGAGCATTGCGGCAGCTGTGTGCAGACCCTGGCCCAGTATGTCACCGTTGAGGTACCTGACAGCATCACCCAGGATCTTCGGCAGAGCCCAGGCCCACTGGAGGCAGGTGAAAGCCAAGGGAGGGCCGCACTGCAGCCGGGGGTGAGTGCTGGCGTGCTGGCCACGCAGGAAAGCTGATGAGGTAATGCACTGTGAGGACCCTGGTGGGACTGTCAGACCCATCAGGCCGCTCATCACCACCTGTAACCCCAGTCCAGGTGGTCCAAAGGCTCTCCAGCTCCGCCCTCACATGCACGCGGGTGTGGGCGTACTAGCACAAGCGCGTGCACGCACATGTGCCGAGCCTAAAATTATTTTTAAACGTATCTAATGCTGAGTGCCCTTTTAAATTCAAGGTTAGCTGCCTACAGGCTAAGAAACAAGACAGAAAGCCCAGTCTGTATCCTAGTATCAGAGACTCTCCAAGTGTGAGCCCTGGGACCCTACTTCAAGGTCAAGACCATTTTCATCACAGTAAAACATTATCTGCCACTTTCGTTGTCTGCCTTGGGAAGACCGAAAGACTTGTGGGTCAGGCTTCTGACCCTACAAGACAAGCAGTGGACCAAACGGCCAGCTGCCACACCCTCACAAGGCATGCAGGGCAAAAGGGTCCACAGTGGACAAGTACTGATTCTTTCTGAAAGTACCCAAGCAAGACACTTGGCCCTGGCGGCCGCACTACCTCAGCCTTCACCAAGTGCTTCATGGAGCCATGGGCAGCCACGGCAGTGCCGATTTCAATGGGCATTTCAAAGGGAAGCCAGGCCTTTCATCCCAGATAACAGTGGACACACTTTTTACTGACATAGCAGAAGGTCGAGTTTTTTGGTTTTAGACAGGATCTGCCCTCTTAACTGATCCTCCCACTCCAGCCTCCAGGTACCAGGATCATAGATTTGTACCACTGTGCTGAGCCTAAAATATAAGTTGAAGTTAGAGTCTTAGAAAACTTGCATCTGTCACACAGGTGTCAGGCCTTCTTGACCCAAGACTTTTATGCCTCCCTAAGCAAATGGGATTTGTCCTTTATGAACAGGTGACAGAATGTGTTAACGCCTTGAAGTTAGGTATAGTTTATTGGACAGTATCTGTAGCTGACCAGTGCATGATGCCTAAAGAGTCTAAGTGGCTGACAGAAAGCTAGCCAAATGCAAAATAGGCCAGTGGCTGTGGTGTCCCGGCATTTCAAGTTCACTGCTATGGCTCAGTCTATGCCACCTGCCTATTAACAAGCAAGCCAAGCGTGGTTGCATCATGTGGGAACACACGCAGACTGGGGCTGTAAGCTAGAACAGCAGATGAAGGCTTCAGTGTGCTGACTTTAAAGGCTAGTTCAAGACTGTCCAGGTAGGAACACCCTGAGTCTCTTTTCAGAGGCTCTTCTCATCTGTGATTTGGTGTTTTGGATAGGTGAGACCGCCTGATGTGATGCAGAGGCCCCAACTCTAGTATCTGAACAGATCTGGGTCAGAGTCCTGTGGTAGGTAGCTGTGTGATCTCATACAAGCCAAGAACCTCCTCCGTGAAGTGATCGAGAAATACCGTGAAAGAATACTGAACAGGGCCTAGAAAACAAAACAGAAACCACGCTGTCATTACAACCACTGCTGCCAGCATTAAAACCCTGCCCTTCCTACCTGTGAGTAAAGGTCAGAATCCTCGGAGCCCAGAAGACTCACTGACATGGCAGAGCAGTGAGACAGAGCCACCAAGCACAAGCACAGCCTAGAGAGCCCCGTCTCAGACAGGACATCTCCCAAGCTGACCCCTGACTTCTGGATACATGCTTAGTCTACCTTAAGAGTTGAGGCATTGCAAGTTCAGGTCGCTGTGTTGCATTGAGGAGAATCATTTACCAATACCATGGCTTTCTAGTCCAAAGTAGTTGCTCTCCTCCTTGCAGATAGGAATAATTAAGGTTCTTGAGTCATTCCTTGGCTTATGTTTTAGGCTTTACTGTTCCTCAGCCTGGTAATTTTGTTAACTGTGGCCAGGTGTTTCTCAACCCGAGGGCTCCTGAGGCAATCCACCCCACCCACAGGAGAGGGCTGGGCAGGAGGGGAGCCAGAGATAGGAAGAAGGATTCTTAGGACACTCTCCCGTGAGCACACAGGTCCAGAAGCAGCAGCAGCGATGCAGCCTTCCTCTGTGCACAGAGCCTCTCTCCTCTGCTGCTGAGCTCAACCACCTATGAGAGCCCACCAGACTCACAAGTGTGGCCACCCTCAGCTGTGTTCAGTGTTGGGAGGTGGGTTTTTGGCTGACCCCTTTCTCACTGTTGCAGTGCATGTGAGCTGAGCTCGTAGGTACCCCAGGAAGGCATTGACAGCAGAGGTGGAGGGAAAGTAGGCACCAGAGTTTTGACCTCTGTAACACACAAGAAAATATAGAAATTGAACTTATAACCAGGCTTATTTAAGGGCTCTTGTCCCATACCCCACCCCTGCCTTTTTCTTGTTTTGATTTTAGTATCCACTAGTTCTCATTTTATCCATCTCTATTTGGGGCAGTGGGAGATGGGACCAGAGGGTACTTCCAATTTTGGTTTTCTGCAACCTACTGACTAGCAAGTCAGCTTCCACACTGGAGGGAAGGCAGGACTGAGCAACCTTTGCTTCTAGTAATATAATAGACTCATTTCTGATGGACAAGAGGAACCCTCAGAGAGGAATTTTCTTTTTTTCTATTACACCCTCAGTTCCCATCAAGCACAGGAACATTCCTCTCAAGAATAGCAGTATGGCCACAGGTTCCCAAAGTATAACCAGGCCTGTGGATATGCAAGGAGCCAACCTCCTGGGTAAAGGCAGCACCCTGGCTACTACTCGGTTCTCACCAAGCTAGAGTGCTAGAGCCCTAATGCCCATCCTGTGACCATTCAGTGTCTGGTATAAAGCAGATACAAGTGCTAGATATAAGGAATTTTGTTTAATAAAAAACTCAGAGCTGCACAGTGTTCAAAATGAAATTCTTAAAATCTGTTATTAAAATGTTGCCTCACAGTAGTCAGGAGTTTTCTGTTTTGCATTTCCTGTGATTCATGCAAATAAACTCAAGGAGTTCGATAAGAACACAGGGCAGCACATGGTACTCCTGTCCTTGGTTGACAGTCCTGAGTCCTGCAGGGTTCTCTGGACAGATGTGAGCTGTGGTGGCTAACATGGCCCCAACTTCCCATCAGCTCCTGAGGCTACCAGGTCTGTGCTGTGGTAGAACAAGCAAGCCCTCAGTGACCCACCTTCCTAAGTGTGCTTGGTAACTACTTTTCTTTATGTGCTTGTCTGTCTTTGAAGGTGAACCTTGGAGCTGAGGACTCAAAGAGTGAGCTCACAGCACTGGACTAACTCTAACCCTCCTCTTCTCACACTGTGTTTCTCTGCAGCAGCAGGTGTGTATGGCAGCTGGCGCTGGTGCTCTGGAGGGAAGGACCTCAGTGATCCATCTAGCTCAGGTATTGTGTTGTTGGGTTTTGTTCCTAAAAATGGTAGTCCACAAGAATTTGTATTCCTTGATTCTTTCCCTTGTTCTAGAAAAGAAATCTAAAGTGTTATTAAATAAAGGATGAAGTCAGGTCAGGGATAGGCTACTTCCATTAGCCATGACCCCTGCCCTTAGATCACACAGGATGGCTTGTGTAGACTGCTGCCTGAGGAAGTGAACAGGAGTCTGGCTTAATGTGTTATGAAGAACTTAAATCACCACCTCCCCAAAGCAATGAAAGAATTCAATTTAATTTTTGGAATTAAGATTTATAAACTACTCTATACACACTTACCAAATCTGGACTCTGTAATAGCTTCAGAGCTAACTTTCAGTGCTCCAGTCTCAACTAAGGAGTGTGGAAAGTAGGAGGAAGGCATCAAAAAGTCCCTATTGCTACTTTTCTGAACATGGGCTCTGGTAAAGATGGCCCTGGAACCAATTCCAGAACATTTAACATGAGCACCTTAGTTCCAAGGACACAGGAGGATAAAAGCTGCTATACAAGCTGCCCATGTCTTTTACCAATTCTTTAAATCCATGGACCAACAGCTGTATGCCACAGCTCATAAACAAATTTCATTGGCTCCACAGTGAGCATGGTGAAGTCTTTCTGAGCCTAGGGAGCCTATCTAGCCCTTTAAAAAAACAAACAAACAAACAAACAAACTGCAGGTACCTTCAGAAACTTTTGCTTGCCGACTTTCTCAACTGCCTTGCAACTCAGACCTCCCTGCAGACAGCTCCTGCCCACTTGTTGCTCCACTTAAGGTGGTTGGCTATTCTCTGTATCCTGGCTGTATCAGGCAAAGGCTCATGCTTTCCATAGAACTTGCATATTCAGTGTGCAAGGATGAGGAGTCCTTTTTAGTTAAATCGTATCTTTATTTAATAGTATTTATTAAATAGTATCTAGTGATACATAAAGAAAATAAGGGCTTTCATGGTAGTGGGGCATCTGGCTTGCCCCTACAGGTAAAGTAGGACTAGTTCCAGATAAAGAACTTGGGAGAAGGCAGAAGAGCAAACGCTTATCACGTCTGAGGCTCCTGGTTCAATACCCAAGAAACCTTGTCCAGCAGAAGGCAGCACTTTTTTCTTGTCTTTTCCCCTAGCCCTCTGGGGAGTGACTGAGCAGGCCAAGGTGCTGTGTTCTTAACAGAGAAAGCACTGCTATCAGTGCTGTCCCAGCAACTGATTTACAAAGCATCAATGAGACCAGAAACAGCAAACAGAGTTTGCTCTGACCTTTTGGGCAGATCATCCTGTGAATACAAAGTTGGATAAACTTCCTGGAAAATTGATGATATAAACCAAGTTTAGTAACTTATTTTCTTAAAACCGTGTTTCAGCTATGCAGGTGTAAATGGAAGAATTTTTTTTCATCATAATACTGTTTACAATTAGGAATGGAATCAATATAAATGCCCACTATCCTGAGTGGCTAAAGTGCAGTATTACTACAGATAGCTCAGAACTGTGGTCAGGGCCAGCAAGGTGGTTCAGTGGCTACCGGTGCTTGTTGCCAAGCCTGATGACCTTAGTGTGATTCCAGGGACCCATTCCTGGGAGGAAAGGAATTGATTCCAGCAGGTTGTCCTCTGACCTCCACATGTATGTCACAGCACCTTCCCCCAGCCTCCTCCAGAAACTAAGCAAAGCAAACTGATGTTAAGCCCTGTCGCTGGCATGGAGAAATTTTGTCAGTACATTGGCTTTTTTGAAGCTATAAAATATTACTCCTCCATTTTCATAATTACTAAACTTGGAAGAATATCCACTGTGCATCAAACAGTGGCTCTCAGTGGAGAACATGGCTGCATAGTGTTTTTCTTTTCTCTTTATTTCCTTTAGGCAGAATCTGAAAACCCAACTTAAATTTAGAAAGGTAAATTTCTGTTAACAATACATGTTGTTCTTAGAGAAATACTCTTGTACTCAGCCATGTAGTACACCCATAGGAAAGGAGTTACCTTTGACAGCATTAGTGTGGTGAGTCTCCAACACAGATGAACCAAGGGGCCAAAACGAAATAGATCCCAATAGAGCTGGAACTCACTACTCCATGTTGGTCAATGGACACACCTTCCAAACTGTCAAAAACAGTCAAACTTCAGTCTGAACTCCAGCATCTAGATGCTGGTAACTTAGGGTTTTCAGGGCTGGTGGTGTAGGCACACATGAACCCCTGGGTTCTGTCCATATACTCGTAACCCCAATACTCAACAGGTAGAGGCAAAAGGACTAGATGCTCAAGCCACCCTCAGCAACATAAGGGGTTCGTGACCACCCTACTACTTAGGGCCCTCTTAAATAAAAAACCCACACTCAACCTCAGTGCCAGAACTCTAAAGTATATCTTTACTTTACCACTACTTTTCTTCACGTAGGTTCTGGCAATCAAACTTGCATCAGGCATTTTGCCAACTGAACTAATCTCCCCAGCCCCTGAATTGGTTTTAAAATGCTGCAGGTTACCCAAAGCCATATGAATGTCCCCATAAGTACATAAAATGATGCTCAGTATTATTTCTGATTAGAGAAATGCAAATAAAAACTAAAAACAAGACAGCCCTGCATGTTTATTAGAATAGCTAAAATTAAAAACAAACTCACAAGGCCAGTAAGATGGCTCAGTGGGTAAAAGTACTTGCCAGGCAAGACTGACAATCCAAGTTCAGTCCGTCCTGGGAACCCTAAAATCCCAGCACTCCTATGGCAAGACGGGAAGCAGAGATGAAAGAATGTTGCTCGAATCTTGATGACCAGAAACAATGAGATCCTCTCTCAAAGAAGTGGAGGAAATAACTGACTGCTGAAAGTCAGGCTCTGACCTCTGTATATACAGTGTGGTATGTGTGTTCCTGTATTCCCACACGGTCACAATAAGAAGACTGCAGTACTAAGTGCTGGGCTTGTGAGTACAAAGGATAGGGCCCTAGCAGTTTGTCACACTTAGATCTTCTTACTATGTAAGCCAGCATGCCACTCCTAGGTATCTGTCTACTTTAATAAAAGGAAACTAATTTAAGGAAGCACAGTAACACATGCCTGTAATTCCAGTACTTAGGTGAACACAAGGGGGTTGTAGTCAGAGAAAATTGTCTAGGCTACATGGTGGGATCCCACCTCAAAATAAACCTTCCAACGTTTAGGCCAACGGAAAGAGAATGCATTAATTACGGTACATCTGCAAAACCGAGTATTTAATTTCAACAGAGGAAAGAATTACAATTAGTAAGAACCCGTATCAAGTGAAAGTAGCGCTGCTTCTCAGCTTACAGTGTGGTTAAATGTGTACAAATCTCTGAGAAATGTATTGAAATGCTTTAAGCCACCTAAGTCTGGAGCATTATCGTTTGGCAGCATGAATGCGGAGTGCAGGCTGCCCGCCTTCACGCCTGTGATGGGGTCAGGGCGGACGGTGCTGCCAGCATCACCAGTCACGTTCTCCCACTGCCACCCAAGGAAGGCCAAGCGCTGGAGTGCAGTTTCTACCCAATACATAATGCTTTTATTTCTCTGCCAAGTCAAGAGACCAAAGCACTGACTCATTAGAAAGGGACTGTTTGCATTATGATTTACTGTACAGAATATGACATTTTTGAAAAGGCAAAATGAAGGCTGGAGAAGATTCATATCCAGCCTTAAGAGTTGGACTACAATCAACAGCGTAAGAATTTTTGGACATCAGATATCATGTATTTTGATTGTGGATTGCAAGTCTGTTAAATTACTCAGACAGCCACCAACCAAAAAAAAAAAAAAAAAAAAAAAGTGTCCTTTTGTCCTTTGGGTGGTCCATTTATAAAGACTACCTCCTGCTACCTCAACCCTGGTATTTTTTTTTTTTTTTAAGTGACGCTAAGGATTAAACTCTGTACTTTATCCATGCTTAGTGTTCTATGACTAAGACACCCCCCTCCCAGGTAGACAACCTATTTTTTCCATTCAGAATCCAGCTTTCACATGAAGAATGTTACTAGCATAGTATTGTTACCTGAATCTCAATACATTTCCTTAAGGATCCAAGTTTGTCTTACTTTCTGTGTGAGATATCCAGTAAGTGTAGAACTGGGCCTAGTAGGTAGTATCTGCCTACAGTCCATAAGGCAGATGCATAAGCAGGAGGATCATGGATTTGAGATCAGCCTGAATATAGTAAGACCCTGTTTTTTTTTTTTTTTTTTTTTTTTGTTTTTATTAGGGTCAGGGCAGAGACAGAATGAGAGATGGAGAAGGAAGGAAGGGAGGAATACAGCATGCCAGAGTAGGATGGAAGAAGGAAAGAAATGGAGGCATAGGATTATAAATGTGAAGCCTAACTGTAGAAAAGATTTTTGTAAAGCCAGTGACAGTTTCTGTTTTGTACATTTTGAGGCGGTGTTTTCTGTTATATTATCTGGGATCATGCCCCCACCTACAGTCAACCCCTGCATCTTTTGGCCCCTGCAGTCTATCCTGGATTCGGAGAAGCTGACCCTAGCCTATGAACAGTCTTCATGGGGAGCAGAAGAATTGGGCCCCTTTCTACGCTTGTGCCTCATGGATCAAAACTTCCCAGCATTTGTGGAAGAGGTGGAGAAGGAACTTAAAAAGATCATAGGACTGAGAAACTAAAGCCCCACACACATATGCAACTAAGGAACTGAAGGTATCTGAATTAAAGAGTATTATTCCAAGCACCTTTTATCAATGTTTTATTGTTAAAAACAGGTGAATCCACTTTTGTACACCATTGCACTTCAATAATTACACAGAACACAAGTACATGCATCTACAGTTAGTACCGCATGAGAACCCAGTCAGGTTATAAAATCTATCATCAATCATTAAATCAATGTGAAAAATACAGTATCAAACCAAAAGGTATAACTAGAGTTGCATAGAATATTACCATGCTATTAACATTTCAGGGTCATTGAAAACAAAAGGGAAATTATAAAAGTTGCCTTGATCAAATGTACAAGAATAAGGTTCGACACATCAGTGCAAAAGGTTTCATAATTTACATGATTTGACAAAGGAAAGATAGTCACTTAAAAAGCAATCATACATATATACTGCAATTCATTATAGCCGTTCAGTGGACTGTTCAGGTTCTTAAAGTTATAGGGTAAGCCCTTAGAATGACAGACTTAAGTTTATACTCTCATCTTTATGTACCAGAACTGCAGCTTCCTCATCTGACAACAGACAATAAGGAATGAATGTCAGCAGCTTAAAAATGAAACAAGCGCTTACTTTATTTTGGATTTCTCCCACCCCCAAAAATATAAATATATATATATATATTTATATACTGTATATATCTGTAGGTTTTGCTGTACTTTACAAAATGATCACTAGATGGCGGCAGTGCATTTAGAGCTTTGCCAATTTAACAGCTGCGTAAGTAAAAAATGGCGCATGCATGATCTGATCCTCAGGGGACCTTTCACTTCAATTTAAATATTTTAACAAAGGGAGGAAAAGCAACATTCACAGCACATCAAGCCCAAAATAGTTTACACCTTCTACACTGAAGCACTGTTTAAAATGTACCTGGCTAGGTCACCCTTATAAGAGAGGCTAAATAAGGCATGCTGTAGACGGTCATTGTGGTGTTGCTCACTGGAAAGGGAGAGACCAAAGAGGCCCAAGCAGAAAACTTAGCAGTCATGTTGCCACCATTTTTCAGGAACCTAAAGAGCTGTAAAGAGGAAAAGATTTGAAAATTATGACAATGTGCACGGTCACAACTCTGTCAATGCCACATCAAATAAAGCTTTGGTTCAAACAGCATGCTCAGGGATGTGGTATGAAATTCTGATCTCCATGTGCCTAAGATGCTGCCTTATGGCCACCATCTATGTCTTGCCTTCAGCAGAGACCATACTAGGTACTAAAGGCCTCTGAGGTAACAATTTCTTTCTTTCTTTTTTTTTTTTTAAGATTTATTTATTATGTATACAATCTTCTGTCTGCATGTATGCCTGCACATCAGAAGAGGGCACCAGATCTCATTAGAGATGGTTGTGAGCTACCATGTGCTTGCTGGGAATTGAACTCAGGACCTCTGGAAGAGCAGCCAGTGCTCTTGTCCTGTGAGCCATCTCTCCAGCCCCAATTTATTTCTTTTTACTACTTTTTAAAACTATCTAAGTAGACTGCAGTGCAAGTTATTCAGTGTGAAATGAACCTAATATAAGTATGTGATCAATACAGCTGAAGGATCCCATCCATCCACTGCAGTGAACAAAAAACTTGTTCCATCAGTATTAGCTACTCTGAAATTAACTGTATAGTCTTACCACATAACACCAATTACTGAAGAATTTGTAGCAAAGTGAGCAGAGGCACAGTTCATTTGAACAGAATGTTTAAATCTCTAAAGAAGGCCATACTTACATTATAAGCAGAACTTAATTTGTGTTTCTCTGGCGCAAGTTTTTATCTTTGTGATTGTTGGTAGAGTTGGTTTTCCTTTGGAGGAAAAATTGCACTGTGTGAGTTCAACTAGTCAAATTGTTTGAAAAGTGTAACACATGGAAACACAGAGACTCTTCACTTCCTTCCATCCCCGGTGTAGCAGCAAACTACTTCTAACAGTAGTGTATATTCTTTACATAAAGTACCTCCTACTTGCAGTTGCTAGATCCTTCATACTCTCAAGGTAGACAACACACAGGTAAGTTTTTCTGAGATTCCTAAACTACAATTACTTACAAGAGAGAGAGAATTATTCTTTTGAATACTAATTTCTTAACTGATAAACTATGACCTGCAACTAGCCACGCTGAGCCCTCTGGCCATTAACCTGCCAGCCACCAATTGCCCCACTTGCTTCTTATCATCTCCAACCCTAGGAACCCTGGCAGCCTTGAACTCATTCCACATTTACAGCTCTGTCTCTCTTGAATGTCAGCAATTATTAAAGGAACTGGGAAGTTTATTAATTCTATCCTTCAGTTTGACGTAACTTGGTTATACTCCTTACTTCTATACTATCAGTTTAAGCATGTCAAATGCATAAACTTTTTTCAATTCCCTTTGCATACTATTCATGTGTATGGCTACACACAAGACCTGGCCTAGGAATCAAGAGGTCACCAAGCAGAATTATTTCATGCTTAAAAAGTGTACATCACAAATTTCATTGTAAGGGAATTTTCTTCTCTTACAATCTTTAGTATTCCTTTTGACTAAACTGCAAACATAACACAATTCAATCAGAAACTAAAATTATGTCCAATGAAGTACTCACATTGGCCCAGCTGGTTCATCATCTGAACAGGGTGTTCCGTTTTTAATAATCCATGAGATATAAGAAAAGAGAGGAGAAAACCATTAGACTCTGCCTAAAAATGAACAGGAGAGTAAACTGCAGGTGGCAAACATGGCTATTCATAGCATATATTAAAGGCCATTCCATCTGGAGGTGCAAAACACTCATGAAGTTATTTCTAGATTCAGTTTTAATGACAGATATGCTGTTTCAATGGTTTTTAGTTAACACTTTGAATGCTCGTCATGAAAAACTGCAACTGTAGCGGACAGATAGGCTGTAATATCATTGAACTCATCTTGTCCCCAAGTTCCAGTGGTTCACTCTTAAAAAGATGAGAAGACAAACCAACATTTCAGTTGTAAAATCCTGCTGTTTATTTTCTTGTGGAGAATATATGCAGTTCTTGACTGTAAATGGATGTGTCCATTCTATACATTTAACCACACATCCTCACTTCCACATAAGGCACTGTTTTTCCTTCTGTTTTATAATCTTTATGAGGTCATTAATCTGAAGAATGAGACCAACGAAGAGGAAGCCATAAGAGGAGCCTAATCCTTGGCTATCCATGCTCTGGGCCAGCAAGACACGTATGAGAAGCAGAGGATGTTCTGTGACATCACAGGGAAAGCTGAACAGTGACACCCCTCTATAAAAAAAGATTCCACACAAAAAGATGGGCTTGTTATTGTGCCCTGGCCAAAACAAGAAGAACCACAAGGTAGTTCTTTTTTTTTTTTTTTAATTAAAAAGTTTTTGTTATTTACTTTTAGAAGCTTTATTAATACTTCATGATTCTGACAACTTTGTCTCAACTTATTAGATATGCATACATTGAAAAAATGTTATCAGAATAAAAAAAATGTTATTTAAAAAATCCACAAGGGGAGGAACCAAGCAAGCAGCCTTTGTTTTTACTGTACAAAAAGTTGGGTGACCTAAAAGATTTTTTTCATTTTGATTTCGCTGAAGCATCTAGAAAAATGCAGCAGGATTCCACAAGGGGCGGGCGCACATGAAGCAGTTATGGAGCTGCAGTCTTGGTGTAGGCACTGCAGGGGCACATGTCAGGAGCAATGTCTGTCAGGGAGACATTGCTCCACCTGTTCCTTTCAGGCAACGGAGAGGCAAAGCCACCGCCAGCACACAGTGACTGGAGCAAAACAGGATTAAAAAAGGGAAAAAAAAAAAAAAACGAAACTAACCACAAACCAATGACTCATCAGCAAAACAATAGGCTAGCAACATACCAGTGTCCACAGGAGTCCACTACTAACGACAGTACTATTAAAACAGGTACAGAGAACAAACTGGGACTCAGGACACCCAAGACAACTGTTTGTTATGTATGCAGTGGAAAGATGTGAGGACATATTAGGTACTAAGACACACAAGCCCAGCCTGAACCCTCCCCTCACCACAGCCTACAGCTCAGCACCTCGGGCAGGCAAATCAGTTAACATGCTAGAAGCTAAGCACCTTGGGAATTAGAAGACATAGGAACAAACTAATTTTAGTGTGCACTCTAAAACACAAAATTCTGATGTAAGACTCCCAACTTTAAAAAACAGGAGAGGGGGAATCGCAATCGCAAGGTCAGTCTTTTCCGAGCAGGACACTAGACTAAGCCAAGTGAACATCACACCATGGGTCTGTCTTTTGGTGTGGGGTGTAACCTGGTGTCTAGTTACAAATGCCTCTTTCCAACCTAACAAGCTGGCCATGTGCAAAGGTTTACATGTGAGTATGGGAGCAACGGTGTTTCTGGGGTAGTGGCCATGCCTGAAAGTGAGAGCAGCCGTGATCCAACCCACACTGGGTCTAAATTCCAGGAACCTCCTTTCAGTCCTGAATCCACTTGGATACCACAAAGAGGAGGACACCCACCCCCCTGTTCTGCACTGAGCCACTGTCTGCAGTATCACTCTCCCATACAGGCCAGACAAAAGAACAACTTGACCTCCACAGGAAGGTCAGGAGAGAAGAACAGAGCTACAGAGAAAGGCACAAAATAAAGTAAATGGGGACTAAACAGCAAACTAAAAACCCAAATTAGTTGTGAAAGTGAATGAAGTAAACTTGAAGAAAAGTGTTAACATTATGAACTGTGCATTGTATAGACTGAAGCGGAGATTAAACAAACTCCAAAAGCATGCATATCGCTCACTTACCACCATGTTTTAAGGGTTTGATGCAATTGAAGGGGGAAAAAAAAGAAGTCACAGTAACCGACAAATATCAACATACCCCCAAACCCTCAGGCCAAAGCAGCCTTAAACAGACTATTCTCTCCACCTGGGGATTACTCACAGCCACTGGCTAGATGAGAGGAAGAGGACTGAGGGGAGAATGAAACAAGATGCTCTGGAATCCATCTAATGAGTGTGAAGTTCCTAGCGGAGTGGTACACACACTG